CTGTTTTATTGCTCCTTATTGCATTTTGGGCCGACATGCTGAATCTGCGCAAAGGAAAGAGTCAGAGGTGATCCTAAACACTGCTGTCTATGAGAAGGAAGTAGTTTACTACAGCTTACTATCGTAACAATAGCTGCACATTATATTACATAAAACGTAATTCTCTTACGGTCAGTTGGAACTTCTGCTGTCCTTGAAAACAAAACCTCGTTCCTTCTTTCAAATAACATCCAGCACGAAACTATCCCGCGTTCTGAGAACAAACTCGGAAGTGACTCTCAGATCCTCCAATAGCGACTACACGCTATACAATAGCGCCCTCTACTTCTGGACAGCAGGAATAACAGGTTTACAGCCTTTGGTGTCGCACTGAGAAGAAGCTGTGCTCCAGCACCCCCGGTCGCAGCAGAGAGTGTTCCCCACAAATCCCCCACCCTGCTGCAAAAACGCACAGTATTATTATACAAACATAAAATATTTTGTAAAGATCTCACAGTGAATTTCACACTGAATTTATCCGTGCGTGTGTGTGTGTGTGCACACCCATGTACAATTGTACATTGTAAATCATTATTAAAAGACATAAAAGCTGCATTTTAAGAAAGAAATTTATGGAGCGCATTGTATTTACCATGATAATTTATTTTGTGAAGGCAGACCCTTTGTATATGTGTAAAATAAACCACATATCTGCCAACCTCCTGTCTCAGGCTAAGGTGTTCCACTCCCATTGCTCCATTCCCACACACTGATATCTGAGGATGGAGGTTAATTATTTTATGTCACAAAACAAGTGGAATTGTGTAAGGAAAAAAAAATCTTTCCTTTTTGCTAAGGCATATAGGATTCCCATGATGCACTGAGTATTTCTTCCTCAGTCACATTTCTCACTCACTGTGTGTTAATAGACCTCTCTGCATTGAATCCTACTTGTTATTAACCTCTGTCTCTCTTCCACAGCATGTCTTTTATCCCATCTTCCTTCCCTCACCCCAACCGGTCGCAGCAGATGGCCGCCCCTCCCTGAGCCTGGTTCTGCCAGAGGTTTCTTCCTGTTAAAAGGGAGTTTTTCGCTTCAAGCTGTGGCCAAAGTGCTTGCTCATAGGGGGTCATAGATTGTTGGGTTTTTCTCTGAATGTATCATTGTAGGGTCAACTTTACAATAAAAAGCGCCTTGAGGCGACTAATGTTGTGATTTGGTGCTATATGAATAAAATTGAATTGAATAGAACAAACAGCAGCCCGATTTCAGACAGAGCTGTCATTAAACAGAAGCTATGAACACAGCTCTCTTGAGTGGACAATTGAAGAAGTTTGTTTCAAGTTTTAGATTTAGGTTGCTCTTCATTTTGTTTTGATGCCACCAAAGAAGACTGTGTTGAAAAGCTTTCAGTAATGAACCGTTTTTCAGTACAAGCTTAAATGCTTCAGAAAGCTTCATTTAGCCAGCAGAAACACAAAGTCCATTGAGCCAAAATGGAAGGAAACACATGGGCAGACAAAAAGTACAACACAACAGAAAGCTAGGACAAAC